TACGAGCTTGCACAGAGGTCCTCATCGTTCAGGTAGCTCCAACAAAACCAATCCTTAAGATCAGGCCGTCCAAACTTTGAATCCATCTACAAACGTACAGCTCCACCACCTACTCAATCGGCTATAAATTCCGCCTCCAACTCCATTAAGCCACACTGCCCTCCAGCTCCACCTTCTCCAAACTCTCTCACCTTCCCCATTCTCATAGTTGGATCAAGATGATACTCAGTCACCTGATAAAAGAAATCGGAACCGCGGGGAAGAAGAAGGTGAAAGCCAATGTTGTCATCATGGACAAGAACGTTCTCTCGCTCAACGATTTCAACGCCAGTGTTCTCAATCAAATTCAGGACTTTCTCGGCCACAAAGTCGAGCTCCGTCTCGTCAGCTCCACCGTCGGCGATCCCAGTCCGTTCTCCCCTTCATTTCGTCAATCAACTATCTATAATTTAACCTATACTATTTAGCATAATACTATGAACACTGTAAGCAGATAACGGAAACAGAGGAGTGGTAGGGGAGGCGGCGAACCTCGAGCCGCCGCCGTTTTCCCTAATCCCAAAAATCGTTGCCGGCGAGTCGATATTCAGCGCCACCTTCATCATCAACGAAAGTCAGGGTATCCCCGGCGCCATCATCGTCAAAAACCAACATTTGGCCGAGTTTTACCTCAAGTCCATCACGATTGAGAATTTCCCAGGAAAAGGTCGAATTCACTTTGGCTGTAATTCATGGGTTTATAACGCTGATAAATACAGCTACGACCGCATCTTCTTCGCCAACGATGTAAGTCGAGCTTTCGCCTGAGTTATTTGGTCGAAATTTTTGAGTGCGAACAGATATAATTCGAGGATTTGCAGAGTTACCTGCCGAAAGACACGCCGGAGCCATTAAAGGGATATAGGGAGGACGAGCTGCGGAATCTCAGGGGAGATAACGTGAATCGAGAGCTGCAGGAATGGGATCGCGTGTACGGTTATGCCTATTACAACGATCTTGGAGCGCCGGACAGCAGGCCAGAGTTGGCCCGCAAGGTACTCGGCGGTTCTCCCGACCTACCGTACCCTCGCCGCGGCAAGACCGGCCGCCCGCCGACCAAATCCGGTGAGTGGAGAACACACACTTCTGTGCGTAATGAACTGTGCTCCTCTCACGCTAAATTGTCTGCTTTAATTGCTGCCGCAGATCCTAAGACTGAGAGCCGGCTTTTTATTTCTGATCAGAACATCTACGTTCCGCGGGACGAAAAATTCGGACACTTGAAGTTTGCCGATTTCTTGGGCTACGGCCTCAAGGCAATCGTCAAGGACCTGTTGCCGGTGCTCCGGGCTAAGATTGACGTCACGCCCAATGAGTTTGACTCATTGCAAGAAGTTTTCGATCTGTACGAGGGAGGTTTACCGCTGCCGGACCTTCCGATCGTGCGAAAGTTCATTCAATCCATGCCATTTGAGCTTTTCAAGTCCTTCATCACTCCCGGCGCTTCCCAGCGCGGTGTACTCAAGTTTCCCATGCCTCATGTCCTTCAAAGTTCGAATATTTTTTCTCGATTAAGACCTGCCTTTCATTTAAAAAAAAACTTCTTTGCCAAAGCTCTAACATCCATAATTGTTATTTAAGATGATAAATGGGCGTGGAAATCCGACGAAGAATTCGCCAGACAAACACTGGCCGGCGTCAACCCCATCATGATTCAACGTCTCACGGTACTGTACTGCTCCTTCTCTGTTCATTACTTCAAACCAATCGCTTACTCAGAAAACTAACATCATTAAACTAACAACATGTTATTAATTATCTCCAAGGAATTTCCACCGAAGAGCAGTCTCGATCCCTCCCACTTCGGCAACCAGAACAGCACCATTAAACCGGAGCACATCGAGGGCAACCTCGACGGCCTCTCTATTCATGAAGTAACCATAACTCACTCTGCAACTATTTGCTCAATTTACGCAACTGTTAAAAAACTAATTTTTATCTACTTCGATTTCTACTTCTTCACTTCTCAGGCGATCCAGTTAAAAAAACTCTTCATCATCGACCACCATGACACAGTGATGCCTTATCTGAGACGCATCAACAGAACAGACAGCAAAATCTACGCCCCCCGCACTCTCTTCTTCCTCCAAAAAGACGGAACTTTGAAGCCGCTGGCTATCGAGCTCAGCCTTCCGCATTCCGGCGGCGACCAACTCGGCGCCGTGAGCTCTGTTTACTGTCCTGCAACTCACGGCGTGGAGGCCTCCATCTGGCTGCTCGCCAAATCCTACGCCCTCGTGAACGACTCCGGAATCCACCAGCTTATCAGTCACTGGTGAGCAAATCTCTTGATCGGATTAAGCACAAGCTGATCCAACGCCATGAATTTCAAAGTGATTTTGGTTTTCAGGCTGCGGACTCATGCGGTGATTGAGCCTTTTGTTATAGCGACGAATCGGCATTTGAGTGCGATGCATCCAATCAACAAGCTGTTGGCGCCTCACTACAGAGATACGATGAACATAAATGCGCAGGCGCGTCATGCGCTGATCAGCGCCGGCGGGCTTCTGGAGCTCACCGTCTTCCCCGGCGAGTACGCTCTGGAGATGTCCGCAGCCGTTTACAAAAGCTGGAATTTTGCTGAACAGGGCCTGCCAGCTGATCTTCTCAAACGGTATGTATTTTTCTGGCAGTCTCATAAGATCTGGGACGGCTTTCTTCCTGATCCATTTTTGTTTTGTTTTGTTTTTCCTAGGGCCATAACACTTTTATTTTTGGAACTGTTTTTTTCGTTTTTTTATTTTTATAGTAAAAATCTGTTTTTTTTTAATTTAAAGTATTAAATTATTTTTTTAATTTTTATGTAATTTATACTAAATTAATCATAGCAATTGCATGCACGTCTACATTTATTATTTTTTATGAAAATAGTCGGTAAATAAACTATACTTTCATGATTGTTAACGTGTCAAAAAAGATTGTTTTATGAATATTTATATGCTTTAAATAGAAGAAAAATCTTTTAATTTCTTAAAAATCTCATAATTTCTCGATTTAAAATGTCCTGTTACTATTTGACAATTGTGTAAACTCTGTTCTTAAAATATCCTCTATATATATTGAGAAATATTTTGACATTTTACTCTAACTTTAACAAATAAACATAAATAATCTTTTTAAATTATATATATATA